GTTTTGACCAGTGCATAATACGTAGGCCCAATCGGGTATGTCACAAGAAAACGCTTGGTCGTACTTACATCCATGATCTTCCCTAGAGTCTGCGCTGCGGTGCGTTGAAAATCATTCGACACCTCCTCAAATTCTCGAAACGATGACAATTCGTATGTGTTTTCGTCAAAGAGACGTCCGAGATTTTTGTCCATTTTCTGTGTGAGGACAACAAAATCTCCGCCTGTGTCGCTCACACTGTATCGAACGTCTTTTTTGAGCAGCAAAAGCTTCTTCAAACCACGTCTCCCTTCTCGAGTCAAATTTGATGCAAACTTCGCTGACGATTCATTCGCATAAATTTGCAACAGCCTCTCCTGAAGTGACGCTAGTGTAGGTTCCATAGATGTTACTGGTTTTGGCACCGATAATGATGTACCCGAGAAAGGCACAGATGCAACGAATGACGACAACCTGTCCAAGAGTGTTGCTTGTGAGTTCTCCTTTCATCGAATCTGGTAGGCAAACTTGTGAAAGGCACACAACGCTGAACGCAGCACTTCTTGAGTGACAGCGGTTGACACTGCGAACGATGGTCCCAGGTTCAGCAAAGCTTCCATTTCTCTGTCTACCGCGTCCGTTCCAACCACTGTACATCGCTTCGGTGGTGTTGCATTGGGTGAAATGAAATGGTGGCTACTGTCGTGCACCCGAGAACGCAAAGAATGCGATTTTTCCCTGAAGTTTCTTTCTCTCGTTATCTCGAATTCTTAGGCACAGCGTTTGTTTCCTATCAGTAATCGATTGCCATACGTTAGCATCTAGTCGTCTTCGTAGAAGGGCTTTCGTTGAGGTGATTCCTTGAATACATTGTGCTCTCCGCCGACGTTCGGCTATAGATGCGTCTAGCAGTGCGCGCTTCAGCGAGGCAAGTCTGCTCAAAACAAGTGTATTTCGCGTCTATGGATCACCAGAAAGTACTGTCTCAATAAATTTAGGCAGCAGTCTTTGCATCCTACGTTGCAACAGAAAACGATTGATTCATCATAAACTACAGCAGCCTGATAGAATGCAATATACTTGACAAGGATAGCAAAAGGGTTTCGGCAGAATTGGTGGCGTCTTTGCAGAATTTTCAGATACGATAGAATTGAGCTATCCCTGAGCCTCATTCTTGTAGGATCTTCTTAGGAGAATAGCACTGAGGACTCAATCATGAAGCTTTATTGGTGAGCTTTCGCTGTATTTACAGCTTCGTCAGACCTTATAACTAACACACAAGTATACAACATGCGTCTCATAAACATAAAATTACTAACCAGGCTGATGACAGAAGTTCGTGGAATTCTGTAATACAACATGAGCATGACTAGTAAGTATTAAGAACACTTCGAAGCGAACGGCTCACCCTGACAGCAGTCCCCAAGTAAATGAAAGCTACTAGAAATGTGACGTGTGTAACTGTGGTCAAGATCTCTTTATCGCAAGCGCTATGATATTAATTTTAATGCCTCCATTAGCTCAACCCTGTTGTTCATTTCCGGTGATAAACGCTTGATAGCGAGTGCTTCAGGCAGTTTTCTCTCGTAACATTCTTTGCAAAATCGGGTGCCACTATAAAGCCAACTTCTCCTGAAGTTGTTCCTGTCTCACGAGCGCCGAGAAAAATTGCAGCTCCATCACTCCATGTAAACGTCAAAGGCTCTTTCCGCTTCGTTTCACTCAGTCCAAGATATGAAATTCGTTGTGATTCTTCAATCAAGGTTGAGAGCTGAATGGCCGTACTAATGCTCCTGCAGTTATAAGTGCATGTGATCTGGTGGCTCATCCTTGCCCTTTTCTATGGTGGCCTACGGACCTGAGATTTCATCGCCTCTGACTGTGCGCTGATCCAGCGCTACCGGACTGGGCAGGGACAGTCTGCAGGGAAGTAAGGCGAGTGGCAAAAGTGGTCGTAGCGTTTTTCGCCTCAGGATAGCCTCGCTGGGGCGTTCCTGTTGCTCAAGGTAGAACAAATGTACGGGCGATATAAGCGATATATTAAGATGTAATATTTTTTTGCTACTTTCGCCCGTGTTTTTCCTGTTGTCCCGTTCATATCCCAATGTCCGAGAGAGACGAGAGAGCCCTTCTTCTTGGCGGGAGATAATAGTGTTCAGTTTTTCTCCCGAAAATTTGGAAGCAAGTCATATACGTTCGAAATCTTCAAAAGCTAAGCTAGTATGGGATCCATTTGGTCGGCAACAATTCTAAATTTTGTTTACCGTTTTGAAAAATCCTGTTGTCCTCGGTGGGTAAGTACTCCAGCTTGGCGTCCATATCAAAATCTGTGGCGTGTCCAGCCCTATTGTTATCTGACCTAATGTAATGTAGGAACACCCTGATTTTTGAACGAAGAAAGCAGTCACTGGAATAAGTTTTCCGCTGCCTCTTTGACATGACAAAGGAACACACTGGCACAATGGCAGACCGGTTCCGACTATGGTGGGGCCGTGGAGCGTTCAAACGTATTGCAGTGGCTTTATATCAGTGAATGACAAAGTTCTAGGCCATCACACTGCCACAGCGAGTACAGTGTTATAGAAGTAACGCAAAAGAATAAACTTCTCTTGCTTCAAACTCAAAAAATGTGCACGCGGATCGCTGTAATGATGATCATTTTATATCATCCAGGATTATTTCTGTGTGCTTTTCCATGCCCCGGGACTGCTTTCTATGTACATCTTAGATTCAGTGTATTTAACTCATAAGGACCTATTAATGAGGCTTCTGAAATCTTCTTTGTCACAAGTCCCTACTAAACCTTAGTGATGGCAGTGGTGAGCTTGATCTGGCAATTCTTCTACAATCTGACAAGTCCACAAAGAATGAAAGTAGAAATCACCTGCTCTCGCATTCGGTAGTACTCTGCAGAGAATGAATCATCGGATGGTTTCTGGAAAGGAAAGCCGGTCATTTTCCTCGGAATAACACGATAATAACTTGGTGCTTCAAATTCTCAATTATTGCTAATCTATAATTCTTACAGTCTCAACACATCTCTTTCTGCGAGGACAGCCACAGGCGAGTAAGCGGAGGTGCGAAGATGGTGCAATGGGATTAGACCTAGTATGTCGATACATATGGGTACCTTATGGATGTACTACTCAGGCTAACAGCATGTCTGTTCACTTGCCTATCTCATTTCGGAAGGTGCGTTGAGAGAGAAGCATTGGTCATTGGCTTCGTGGACTCTGTCTTCCCATTGCCTCTTATTTAAAAGAATAGCTTGTGATTATGACACTTCTTTCAATATTTTATTGAATGTCTTCTTAACCACTACTCCCTTCCTGTAACTTTTCTAGCTTTTTCCTTTTGTCTCTAGTCATTGGTATATTCCTTCTAACCATCTGTACTGATTTCTTTCCTCTTTTCTTTGGCTCTTTTTCAATATCAATCCGTCGTCAATCTGTCTACTATTATGCCCTCAAAATCGGTCGTGCAATTGGGGGCACGCAAGCTTTTAACAGCTCTAATGACTCAAGAATTAGGCGTGTGTCAGGTTTAGGAGGTTCCAATTCAGGAATTGCGCAGATGAGAATTGTTGTAGTTGTTTAATGCACAGAATAACACCCATGCTAAAATAACGAAAAGTATAAAAACCAGAAGTAACGAACATGAGGAACAGTTCCTTGACGATCTAAAGTTGTACCAGAGTGAAAGAAGAAGAAAGAAGAAAAACAAAAAAACGAAGGATATAACAAGGAATATTAGGATGTAAGATGCTTTTCTAAGGCTTTCTTATGAACTTAGCTTGCCTGTCGAAATACCTAGTCTAAGCAGCCTAGTAAAGTGCATTTAGCCCTGGCAACTGAAAAGTTTGTAGGGCATCCCCTAGTTCTCGATTCTTTAAAGGACCTCTTTGTAGCAAGTTATTTGGCTTGAGCTCCGAATGACCACGAAAAACCTTGAAGAACGTTATCAAACCAAATTTCCCCCTTCTGAGCGCTAAAATTTTAAGATTGAGATTGGCATTCCGTGTTACTCCAGAGGGGATCTAATCATACTTAAAACCGAGCACTCTCAGGGAAAGCTTTCGAGTAGAAGCATTTTGAACCCTCTCCAAGGTGTTGGTAACTTTCCCTTTTTTGCAGATCAATCAATCAATTGCAGGTCCCGTATTCTAATAGGGGTCTGACGTAAGTTGCGTAAGCTCTGAGGAGCACAAGAGAGTCCTTAGTTGTCAAAGCTCTGAACAGGTTGAATGTGAGAGCTGT